ATGTATTTCCTCAGCGACCAGCACAGATCAGCTCCAGGCATGATGAAGCGGATATCGTCCTCTTTTGGAAAACCAAACAAAGTAGCTTTCACAACGAAACACACAGCGCCTTCACGACATGGCAGCGGCGGCAACAACAATACTAAAGCGAGAATACAATTTACGCCTTCTTTCTTTGCGTGAACATTTGGGCGGCGTTATGCAAATCTTCCCACATTGTGACGTAGACATGTGGGGGCGTGTTAGAACGAGCCGTTTTAGGTAGGCGTGGTTGACTCTTAACTTTTATAAATAATATCTCTTTGGATTTGAGACTTTAGTCTTTGCAACTTTACAGATCTTCTTTATGCACCAAGAGCTTGTAACACTCCAAAGAAAAAGGAAAAATTGAAATCGCATCATATGACCCCTTTAACTTGGCATAGTGTCAGATGAAAGAATAGGAAAGAAAGATTTCTGTAAGAAGATCACATTGTTGATCACAACAGCAGTTATCCTCACATCTGTCTGGCGTTGTTGACTGGTAACATTCCTTAGGTAAAAATGCTTAGGGGCAGACAGCTGCAATCATATGGCATGATCAAACAAATGAGAAGAGAAAACCCCTCACAGCAGGCTTCCAAACAGAAACCGTCGGGAGTCTCTTAAACCGATTTCCCAATGTCCTACTTTTCATATTTGTGACAGTTCAGAGCGTCCACTGTGACTCAAGGATACATTTTTAAATTAATTATGTCACCAACTTAGTTTGCTTGGTTACTAAATAAGTCCACTCTAATTTATCATTCCTACTATTCCTTGGAAATCAAAAAGAGCCACTGCCAGCGAAAGCTTAACTCTGAATTCAATGCAGGCAACACATATATGAAAGTTTTAGAGGCCACTCTCAGAGCCCAAACATTTATTTTGGAATACTTACAATTATTAGTGTCTTTGGCAACTGCTATAATTCCCATTGGCTGGTGGGGAATATCAGCCCTGAGAACTTTAGTATCTCCTCCCGTGAACTTGTTGGTTCGCAGCACAGCCCGCCGAGTCCAGTCAGACCAAAAAATGTAGTTTCCGTGGATAGCAAGTCCAAAAAATGTGCCAGCTCCTGACCTTACAATCACCTGACAACAAATACAGAGGGTACAGTATAAAGCATTTTCTTACAGATTATATATATTCGATATATAGTATATATGTGTGTGCTTCCATGTATTGTATACATTGTATTATAAGTGAGTGTGTTTTATGTGTATATTAATATTTGTGAAAGAAGGCTGCATTTATTTTTTATTATTTCTATTTTAATAGTAAATTTAAAAGAACAGCATTTTTTGAAATAGAACAAATCATACTGATCCCAAAATAAAACACTGAAAAACTAACATTAACAGTTTTAAATTATACAAGTGAATTTAGGCATCACATTATTATAATGTACAATATGAACAATTTTATAAATATTTATTTTGAGATGTCCTAAAGATAATCGCAAAGGTAATCAAAATGTAAAATCAAGACAAAATTTACATGCATTATTAAATATCCAATATTGACCGATAAAATAAATTAAAATACATTTCGGTAACACTTTAGTATAGGGACCAATTTTCATTATTAACTAGTTGTGTATTGCCATGCTTATTAAATAAAATATTGGCTGTTTATTAGTACTTATAAATCACATATTCTTTAAAACCATATTCTACATCCCTAATCCTACCCAACACCTAAACTTTACAACTAGCTTACTAACTTTTAATAAGCAGCAAATTAGGAGTTTAATGAGGCAAAAGTCTTCGTTAATGGTTTGTTAATAGCGAGAATTGGACCTTAAAATAAAGTGAAACCAACATTTCTAATATGGTATGGTTCTGATATTTCATGCATCCCAAAATTTCAGCCATCCAGCTGTCAAAATATTCACCACTATTATTAGTCATCGCAAAACATGGATAATTTTTGGCCACCAGTCCTTTAGACAAATGCATCTTACACAAGGATCAAACCATTGGCTTACAATTAAAAACAAGGGACAAAAACAAATTCAGACGACCACTGGAAAGTCTCTATGAGGGGACTAAAACTAATGTGTAGGTAGAGGACACATGCTTTAAATAATCCCCCAAGCAGCCAGTTTAGCCCAGATCCTGTGAGTGTTAATGCAGGTGTCATGGTGACGGACACAGATATACATCACACGACTCCTTCTGGGAGTTTCCAGGCTGTGGGACGGGAGGATGTCCCACAGCTCCGGAGACCCAACCATTAACAGGAACACGCTTGTAGTCGTGATCACATTAGCCCTGCCACCATGGTGGGAAAAATAGGACAGGTGTTGATTAAGAGAGCCCAGCTTGAGCAAACAACAACTGGAGATACGAGGGGGGGGGGATGAGGAGCATGCCAGATGGTTTTTGATGGAGCATATTGATTCAGAATTAAATTTAGGGGTGCAAGCGTTCTGCTCCAGCATTAATTATCTCTGCTTATCTGATCAAATAGATGTCAAATAGAGTTTTTGGCTAACAACTATAGCCGCATGCATTTGCTCGCAGTTCTGATGGGCATTACCAAAAATTTACATCTATAATAATAGTCCTCTTTGTGTGGATGTGATATAAATGATGGCACCTCACAGTGTGACAGATTGTGTTTCATCAGAGAAAGTCTAACCATGCGTACCGTTAAGCTTCCACTCAGTTTCACCACACAAACCCCTTTGCTAAAACCAGTTGGGAGATTCCAACTGCAAGGCAGTTTGCCAAAAGCCATGTTGATTTAGTTTTGCTTAATTCTTCACAGTTTAATTGGCTAGTTGATAGGACGGCCTGGCAGGGGTCTCAAAATAAGCTTTCATTACCACTAGTGCACTTAGATTGGGAGGTTGAGGAACTCTAATGAACTCTTTTTCATGTTTCTTCAAAGTGGATAATTCATTACGATTAAGCTGATTTTATGAAGGGTCAATGGACCCGGCATCAGTGGACACTAATAACTCCAGAGGGTCGCCCGTCCCATGGGCGGTCACCAAGTCATTATTGTCGAGATGTACTGTAGAGACCCGCTGCAAAACCCAATTGAGGTTTATGTTTTAGAAAATGAGTAGGAATTACTTCAACTGGTGGTTATTTCCACTAATCAAAATCAATCCACTAGGGTTAATTTAACAGGATTCATTATTCAAAAAGCAATAAAAGAATAACATATTTGAAGTATCTTCATTTTCAGTTTTTCTCAACAAATACAGGTGCATCTCAATAAATTAGAATGTCGTGGAAAAGTTCATTTATTTCAGTAATTCAACTCAAATTGTGAAACTCGTGTATTAAATAAATTCATTGCACACAGACTGAAGTAGTTTAAGTCTTTGGTTATTTTAATTGTGATGATTTTGGCTCACATTTAACAAAAACCCACCAATTCACTATCTCAACAAATTAGAATATGGTGACATGCCAATCAGCTAATCAACTCAAAACACCTGCAAAGGTATCCTGAGCCTTCAAAATGGTCTCTCAGTTTGGTTCACTAGGCTACACAATCATGGGGAAGACTGCTGATCTGACCGTTGTCCAGAAGACAATCATTGACAGCCTTCACAAGGAGGGTAAGCCACAAACATTCATTGCCAAATAAGCTGGCTGTTCACAGAGTGCTGTATCCAAACATGTTAACAGAAAGTTGAGTGGAAGGAAAAAGTGTGGAAGAAAAAGATGCACAACCAACCGAAATAACCGCAGCCTTATGAGGATTGTCAAGCAAAATCGATGCAAGAATTTGAGTGAACTTCACAAGGAATGGACTGAGGCGGGGATCAAGGCATCAGGAGCCACCTCACCCAGACGTGTCACGGAATTTGGCCTCAGTTGTCG